TGACCATGCTGGGTTCCGCCACATGCATCCGCATGCGAAACGCCGATGCCCCCTGTAAGACTTAGAGCAACTTGCATGTCCATGACCTCCCGGCAGATCCATGATCCAAGAGCAACCCCCGGCATGCATTTGCATGAATGATACAAACATCTGTCTTTTTGTTGTATTGCATTCATTTCACGACGGAGACACCACAAAAACGGCTAAGTTATGGGAAGGCCGAGCATGGTCAAAACAAAATTATGTGGGTCAAAACCAATGGTACCATTTTGGGGTAGGTGCACCACCCACTTTAGTCTATTTTAGTGGGGATTCGGATGTTCACTGTGGGTACGGCCAAATGATGTTGATGATTTTCGACCATCCAAGAAGTTTCAAGGCGATTTATTTCCATAGTATGAGTCTGCTTACATATTTGCAGAGCCCGACAGGCTTTGCCCATGGCCACATGTTGGCTGCATGTTAGTTTGCATTTGTAGCCGATTCGGTTGTTTTCTTCTGCCAACCTTCCGAGTTGAAATGTGTTTCCCAATCGAATTCAGCCGCAATCATCCTGACGTCACGATAAACATAGGACTTTCGAGATGCGCCTGGTCGGTTTTACCGAACGACGCTGGTGAAGCTTAAAGATAAAGCGGAATGCCGTAAAGTGACAACATGTCCAATTAAGGTCATGTCTCAAAAAGGCCATGTCTCAATTGTGGCCTTCTTGGTTGGTCCAATTAAGATAGTGTGACCGATGTTGCCATGTCTTAGGCCAAGCTCGAAAATCGTCGCCCTCGCGCGGATGTGCCCTGGCGTTTTCCCGCCTGCAGCTTATCGCGCCCAGAAATTGCAAGCAAGGGTGGGCCAACCCCGACAGGCGGTTTACACCAGCCTGTCCGTCTTCCTTTAAAGCGTCTGGTTGTTTGGCTTCTTGGCCCAACCCTGCAGGGGGTTTGGCATTTGCCGAAAAGTCGCGGGCCACGTGGAAGATCGATGTATGCGTGCGCTGCTTGTGGCTGCCGTGCCAAAGCAAACACCGTCCACGAAGCGGCGAGCCCCGGAGAGCGACTGAGCAGGCCTGACGAGCTGAAGAGAATGGTTTACGGGTTCACTTGCATTCGGCGCATGCGCCCAGGCCGTTTAAGACTTGTCTCCCCTGGTGAAAATGAAGGTGCTTTTGCTCTTTGATTGGTTTACTTGGGCCTCGTATGTTGGAGTCGAGTGGGAAGCTGGCATTTCGACGGGTAAGTAAAATAAGGCAATTGCATTTTGTGATTTTCCAGAGCAGGAGAGGGCCAGGATTTGTTCTTCAGAGGAGTTCGCTTCGGTGTTATTCGGGGGGGGGCTAGCTTTGAAGGGGGTACTGTTTACGAGCTTGTCAGATCTTGTTGGTTTAAGTAAATTGCAGTAATCATTTTGCTGCTTCCGGCTAGCCCTTTTTTCTGGAATGGCAAACCCTTGAAGACTATGAAAGGATTAGGTGTTAGCAAAAGTATTGGCAATAGCCAATAGCTTTGTTAGTTTAAGATTAGGTTTTTGATATTCGGCCGGAAAGGGACGTCTTTAATCAAACGGGATTCTGGGAGTTGCCACGAAATTACATTCAGACGGCTCTTTTGGCCATTTTTTTGTGGGTGCCCAAAAGAACCAGTATTGGCTGATATTGGCTGGACACATCTTGCGCCCAGGCCCCCCCACCAATTAACATGGAGCCTGACAGGGGCTCCCTTACGGAAGATGGTCGTCCAAAACGCCCCCCGAACGTCCGGTTCCATGTCAATTGGTGTGCCAGAGGCATCCTGCCGTGTCCTTTGTCCAGGCTGAGAAGAACACCGCAAGAAAGCAAACTGCAGAGAACCGAAGGTCGATTGATGAAAGCCCCCCATTTAATGAACCTCTGATATGAATATGGGCGCGCCCCTGGTTTTTAGTGGGGGTTCACCACTTTTGGAGGGGAGCACCCCCATATGAATAAGCAGGGGTTGATTAACAGGGGGTCAACATTAGGGATCCCCTCCGTTCTGGAGCTCGTTGCTTTCGATAATTTTGTGTGTAGATTTGACATGCGGGAAGTACTGCCAAACACCACGGTGTTAGATACAAGTTGGCGGTTCAAGGCCCAAAACAGAACTGCTCGGCGCAGAAAAGGGCAGTCTAACAGGAATGTGAGATCTAGCGAACACCATCTTGTCTTGCTTTTAAATAAGCATATGTGTATATATATATATATGCTTCCACATTAGATGAACGCATGCATGCTTCTCTAAACAGGGATAGGATGGTGTGGGCTTCATGTATCAAGTCCTGGAGGTGCCCTTAGAGTGTCCGGTGGTTTTGGTGCACCTCACCATGCAGCATCAGAATCTTGGTTGACTCGTTGACATGTGGGTGTGTGGTTTTTGAGGGTACCTTTTTTGGGGTAGGCTTATGGAGCTGGGGGGCGTAGAGGGGTCAAACTGCTCGACGCTCTAGTTGGTGGCAGCGCGTTGCCTCTCACTAGGCTTCACTGGTCGAGGCTTTTCTAGGAAAGTGTTAGAACGGAGCGTCTGCGTAGTCTGACTTATTTGGTTTTGACTTGATTGGAAGTGCCCGGCAACCCGACATACTATTTTGATTGTTTAACCCCTTTTAAGTAGTCAAAAGCCAACAACCCGGGTAATTATTGTATCCCCTTGTGTTCACAATTGTAGATGCAACTGTTCTTGGGCTGGTTCAAAGAGCATGTGCGCTTGGATGGCGATGGGATGGCGATGCGCACGTCTCTGCCGTGTGACTTTTGCATCAGTACAACATATTTCTACGTGATTCCCTGTCTTTTCCAGCGCTCTTTGGGAAGCCACCCAGACTCCCTGTGTACTTTTGCCATCTTCAACAACGGAGAGAGTACAACTACAATATTAGCTATCGGGAAGAAACCTAGGTCCCCCAGTAGTGCCCTTTTACCCTCTTTTACCCTTTTTTGAGAGGAGGGTCCCCCTACTAAAATAGACTACAGAAAAAAGGGTACCCTTATTCTAACCTCTTTACTGGAGGACCTAGAACCTATTTGGAACCTATTTGGTTGTCACAACCTGGGCAGCCTTGTGGAAAGGGTGCTTCCGGCACCTAGACTAGAGTCAAGCAAAGCTCACCAGTTGGCCGACAAGGGGGTTCCTTTGATCTTTGGTAGCTCTTTGCTCTCTTGAAAGAGAAAGCCAAATGAGGTCCAAGAACCCAGTAGTCCAGAGGTTTAGGTTTCGGAGGTTCCTCGGGTCCCAAACTGGCACGGCCCACTGCAAAACGATAAGGAGTCGAAAATTCGAGAACGGTCGTTTGTCAGCTTGGAAAAGCACAGCTTGTTGAGCAGCAAACTGGTGGCTGACCAAAACCGAGAACAAAACGATAGCCAACACAACACGGTTTTGCACATCAATTGCCTTTTGCTGCCAAAGTGTACTTTAACTTGTACTGAAAGGTTGTGATTTTCCATCAGCTGCCAAAGTGTACTTCGCACTTTGTGTACTACACTTGTACTGTAGGTTGCAATTTTCAAGCTGGAGCCGCCAAAGTGTACTTCGCGAGCTACGCTTGTACTAAAGGTCGCAATTTCGAGGTTGAAAGCGCAGAAAGCTCAAAACGGCGCAAAACGATAAGGAGGTGACAAATTGATAACCCCGGAAAAGTAACTCGAAAAATGCCGAGGTTTTACGCAACCTCATTACGCAACCTCAAATGAGGTTGCTTCAACACAATGCTTATATGTGGAAGCGCTGGCCTCACTTTTCATGAGCCTTGCGCAATCAGGTTGCCACATTTTGTGATGGGGGCACTGCAGGTACCTGTTTCTTCCTCCCGCCTTTGAAGGTTATAGCGGTTACAATTGAAGCGTCTGAGATTCGTCCCGGCCCAGAACTCCAAGTACATGTCCCGCCTAAAAACCACTGTGCGCGCAATGCCCGGTGAGAGTTTCGCCAGTTTTCTGAGTAGTGGCAGTGGCCTATCGCCTCTCGTGGCTTTTGTTTGGATCCAAGTGAACATATCAGGGCATTCTCAAAATTGCGGGAGGAGTGGATGTCAATTTGTCATGCAACCATTTCGGGGTAGTTTGGACAGTTTCCAGATTGAATGGTGTTCCACGGTAGCCAATGTGGTGCCCACCATTGGGGGTGGTCATTTTGTTCACTCTGCCTACGAGGAGATGTGTCGAAGTCGCGAAACAATCCCCTGCTGCTGTTCTCGATGTTCAGGCCCCCAAGTACATCCTTTTAGCGGTGGGGGAAACAGACAGTTGTTGCAAGGTGTTGGTTGTTGCTTTGCGTTTCCTCCAAGAGTTCGAGGCACAAGTGTTTAGTTGATTCGCACACTGAGCTTTGAAAGCTGAGCCACGGGGAGATACTTTGTGCTGTCAGCGTTTCTGTTATTATTTTGCCGGTCTTTGCAAAACACCGTTGTGGCCACTTGCTGGATTTTGACCACCCGCTTCAACTGCTGTTCAGCACAAACACGTCTCTTTGACATCAAAGAAGAGAAGCCAAGAGCGAACCCACTGCATCACTGCACTGCTTTCGCGGCTTCGCAGCTTGCAGCGGCCGCCGTTCGGGTGCGCTGCCATGCGCGGAAAAGGCGGTGCTTCTCATTGCCAAGCGCTCGTTGCAGTCAGCGTTGCACACAGCGAGAAATGGCTGCGGGTCAAAACCAATATTTTAGGGTAGGTGCACCACCCATTTTGGTCTATTTCAGTGGGGATTGGGATGTTCACTGGGGGTATGATTTGGATTTTGACCCATGGCCAAATGAATTCCATGATGCCAAGCAATGAATCGGCCCCGAAACCTGCAATGGTGGCAGATGAATCGCTGGGTCTTACAACGGTAAAGTCCCCGTTTCTCGGGCACTGCCTACCCACAAAAAGGGCCTCCCTTGTTGGCTTTTTGGCCAGACGGCCTGAACGTCCAGGTTTTCACGAGCCCGGTCTTTCGGAAGCTCTCTGGCAGCGCCAGACTTCTGAGCCTCAGTTGGGGAAGGGACCCCTTCAGGACGCTGGAGCTGCGATACCGGGAGCTCCATACGCTCATGCTCCTAGGCGTATCCGTGTTTTTTTGTTTTTGTGTGTTTTTGTTGATTTTTGCTGTTTTTCTTGGTTTGAAAGGAGCAGGGGAGCAGAACAATTGGGAAAAGGGGAGTGTGAAGCATCTGCCTTGTCAACAAAAAAATCGAGCCCGAAGCGTTCGTTTCCGGGTTTTGCTGGGCCGGCATGTGATATCTTATTTCTTTGTACTATGATGGTGCAGATAAAATTGATTCGATCGTTTTTTTGGGGTGAACTTTGGCCAAGAGCGACCAAAAGTCCCACAGCACGATTACATGCTTTTGTTTGGCTTCACCGTCCTCTTTTGGTTGTTTGTACACCTGGGCAAAAGGACCTCAGTGGCAACTCTCCCCGAAAGAGGATACTTAGCCAAGAGCACCAAGGAGTCGGTGGTGTGAACCAGATTGAAGCGACTGGTGTCAATCTTTTTGGTTGTGGCTGTCGAGAGGTTGCGCAATGGGTGAACTCTCTTTTGCATGTGAAGAAAGGGAGTCACTTGGAACCTTTTTGAGGAAAGCTTGGAAGACAACACGTGATCACAGGGTTAGTTTGGGGCGAATGCACCACACAACCCCACACCAGGAGAAAATAAAAAAATGACCACTCGCCAGTAGATATCGATGACATATTATATGAGAGTTTCTGAAATTGTGAAGTCAGTTTCTTTGTATGTTCTGAGGTTTCAACTCTGTTTGTTGGTGCATTGAAAGCAAGTATGCGCCAACAGGATCACTCCACCTGCTCAGTTTGGATTAAAAGGATATCATCCCTTCAACTCATGTGGCATTTTATGTGCTTCAGTCCTGTTTGGGAGGGGTCAAAATCGACCTTTTGCAGTTCGAGCAAAGAAGTGCTGGTGACATGGCAAGCATTCATTGACTGTCCCGTTGGGAACATTTAATGTGCAAAGGCCCCCTTTTCCAGCGGAAAAAAAAAAAAAAACATGTCTTCCAAAAGGGTCTCTGCAACTCCATGTTTGCTGAGGGTCGCTGGGATGGTCCTCCATGGATCACTGTGTGTTTCGCTTCCCTCAAGGTCGCAACGCGACTGCTACGCATCGAGTCTTGACCTAGGTTCCTTTCTTCAGTGCCGAAGAAGAACTTGAGGGAAACAAAAAAGCGCCCCTGGAAAAGGAGCACAGAAGGAGCCAATACACATGTCTTGCCCCCTGTGATTTGGTCATTCGCGGTGGGACTCGTCCAGGTTCATGCCAAGTCACTCTCTCTCCCTCCCTCCTCTCTCTCTGTCACATGCTTCTGAGGTTCTCCGTCCAGGTTTCTGTTGGTCATGTTTTAGCGACCCTTGGACAAGGTTGTTCATAGCCAGATATATCCTGTCTCCCTCCCATGCTTGTTCGGAACCCAAACAGGTGTCAGGCAGCCTGCGCTGTGCATGCAGTTTTCGCGATTTTTGCCAGGTGCCGGGTACGGTATTCACCGCTTAAGACATTCTTGCAGGCACTGATTGGGCCCTGTTTGATCGATTGCCAGGGGTGGACCGGAAGCGCCTGGGACTGGAAGAGGACCTGAGGGCTGACAAAAAAAAAGCTAAAAATCTGAGGCCTCGATTTCCATCTATCAGGAAACGCCTCACGGAAATGATCGGACTTTGACTTTTGATTTGAGGCACGGACCACCACTGACCATAGCACTATAGCGCGATCGTGTTTTTTTTCTTCTTCTTTTTTCTTTTTTTTTGTGGCGGTTTTGGGGGCCCGGCCCCGGGGATCGCATGGGTTTTTGCTATGGCAGAAGATGGGTCTCGTTTGCACCAGTCAAGCCCGCCCGACGGGCTCAGGGCTTGAGAACTACAGAGGGGCTCGGGCAAGAGAACTCGTGGGGGGATTTACAAAAAAAATACCCGGGCCCCATCAAACACTTGCGATCGGTGCGATAGGTAGGGAATGAGAAATGGAATGACCCCAACAAAACCAGACCCAACTGGTGGTTTCCTCAGGGCACCGGAGCCGAATCGGTTCATTCATTCAACCACATTCCCTGCGCAGCAAGAAAAAGAGGCCCCCCCTCCTTTGATTCATGGCCCTCCATGTCTACTTGGCCGAAGCCTTGGAGCTGCGGGTGAAAAGAGTTGAAGGGCGATCCCGGGCGATGGGTTCGTAAGTGTAGATCAAGGGATTGGTGCCGGGGTCATATGAATAAACCTTCATGGCATCCGTTTTCATAGAACCAGAGTCTTGGATTGTGGGCAAAGCTCAGTTGTTCCAAATCGCATGCAATGCCGCTTTAGAGCAAAGATACCAGGGTTGGACCCTGTCCCCTTCCCCCACTAAGGATCCTAGGTGATTCTTCGTTCGGGTGTGTCTTTCTTTGAGGAAGCCGTTTCTCTGTGTTTTGAAAGGACAACCAAAAGGAAAGGAACCATGTGTTTGGGGGGTCCCCCAGAAAAAGAAGCAAATTCCTTCCTAAATAAATGGTATAGATCATGTTCATTTTTGTGCGAACCCCTTCACGCATGCCTTTCCGACTTTTGAAGTTCCACTAACATGGCTTGAATCGTTGTGTTTTTTTGGCGTTGCTTGCACCCCAAATTGAAGCATGTAGAACCTGGCAAGATGGTCAACAGGAATCGATCTCGGGCGCACGCCCAGTATGTCAAGGCTCCGACTGGCTCGGGGCCCCGCCCCGCCACACTGACCTGAAGCAAAACCCGAATCAACCCGACCCTGACGAGCCCCAGACCAAACCCCGAAGAGGAAGTCATGGGTTCAGGGGCGCTCAGGCGATTTTGTGCCCCTCCTTTTCAAGTAGGCCGTGGCGGACAAGAGTCGGGGACCTTGACCTCCCACAGGGCGCTGGATCACTTGAGATGTTATATGGATGGTGCTAATTACTCGCTTGGGCACACACACACACAGGAACAGAGTATTTCGAGGGCAACCTAGGTTGTAATCCACTCATACTGTTGCCAAGTGGAGTGATACAACCCTTTGCAAAATGGATTACCGGTAGTAAGCTAGATTGCCAGCCTGCTGCTAGCTTGCCCGAGCGCCCAAGTAAATCTTTGCTTCACAAGCTTTCCAGGTAGGAAGGAATCTCCCCTTACGGACCTGACTACTAATTAATAGTTTATTCATCGGGGGTCAGCAATTCAGGAGGCACACGGTCAGGTGTTAGGCCGAGTTTGCACGCAAACTTTCATGTTCTGACACTTTGTCTATGTCTGCCAAGTGGCTCCCTATTTCCCTGGCGGGAAGACACGCAACACGCATGTCCCCACCAAGCGCCCGAACGCCAGGAGGAAAGTGCTGTGAAGTACGAGAAGAAGGCGGGAAGCGCCCGGACTCTGCGCGTCCGACCACTTTTGGACGGCTTTACTTTTGCAAAAGGGTCCGGGCACCGAGTGTCTTTCTTAAGATTTGTATGCCGTTCAATCATGGGGATTGCAGTCTAGAGACGCCTCTCTCCTTTCGAACCCGGCTTACAAAGAAATATGCCATGAGCCAAGTTTACAAGTGGGGATGTTGGAAAGGCCCTGCGACAGAGAGCTTTTCAGGCATGGGTTGCTGTGCGGTAGATGGCCCTTTTGTTTGGAAAAGTGTACATGGGATTGCCCCATCCAAAGGACACATCCAAGGTGACGCGATGCAGAGGTCAAGAGAGCCAACAATAAATCTGACTGAACTGAGGTCAGTAGGGGGTTATTCCTTGGCCCTCTTGCAGATCAAGATCGACCCCCACCCCCCCGCGAAGCTTTGTTCGAGTTCCATGCATAGTATTTCTTGGTTGCCTGGTTTTAGCCATGACTCAAGAGACCAAGCAGGAAGTAGTTGGCCGGGTCATGATTTTGTTGGCGTCCAAGTGTGCGGGTCGTGCAAGGGACAAATCCGGGTTGTAGTTCCGGTGGGAACTAGCAATGTGCGTTGAAACTTGGTTGCCTTCCGCTTTGTCTTTTTCTACAAAACGGACACCCATATGGATGCTCCTTTCAAATCGAGCCGCACTTTTGGTACGTATCAACAGAAAGTGGAATACCTCCGTTTGTGGACACCGCATCGAAGGACCTTTGGCACTCCTGCAGGAGAACGAAGCGATTCGATCAGCTGCAACATAGCGTGTCATTATTAGAAGCTGTCCCCAGGGGGAAGGGGACAGATCTTATGGGGGAAAGGTTGGAAAATATCTTAGCGGGGAAGGTAAGCCATTATGATGTTCAGACTTTAAGCTATTAGGATTTTAACACGTTAAGCCACTCAGATTTTCGGATTTGAAGCCCTGAAGCTTTCATTTCCCTTCTCCTCTCATTTCCACTCAGTTCCCTTCAGTTCCCTTCATTTCCCTTCATTTCCCTTCACCTTCCTTCACTTCCCTTTTTGTCCCTTTACTTCCTTTTATTTTCCTTCCTTCATTTCACTTCATGCCCACATGTCCGTTCACTGGGCAACATCCCCAGCATCACATGCATCATTTGCATCATATGAGGATACAACATGGGACCCTGGAGGAATGGAACCCTTGGTTTTGCGCAACTGTATCCCGCACACTCTGTTGTCAACGGGTATGTATAGGTAGAAACATATTATATATATATATATTTATATTTGTGGAGTTTAAGCGGACCAGCCATTTTGGTACCCTTAATTTTGAGACACCATGAGCTCTCACACTCACTCTCACTCACTTTCCCTCACTCTTCACTCACTCTCACTCGCTCTCACTCGCTCTGACTCACACTCACTCACTCTCTCTCACTCTCACTCATTCTCACTCACTCTCACTCACTCTCACTCACTCACTCTCACTCACTCTCACTCTCACTCACTCTCACTCACTCACTCTCACTCACTCTCACTCACTCACTCTCACTCACACTCACTCTCACTCACTTTCCCTCACTCTTCACTCACTCTCACTCTCACTCACTCTCACTCACTCTCACTCTCACTCACTCTCACTCACTCTCACTCACTCTCACTCTCACTCACTCTCACTCACTCTCACTCACTCTCACTCACTCTCACTCACTCTCACTCACTCACTCTCACTCACTCTCACCGGCTCACCACCTCACCGCCTCACCGGCTCACGCCTCACCACCTCACCGCCTCACCGCCGACTCGCCAACTCACCAACTCAGCGAGTCACAGACTCACCGACTCACCGACTCACCGACTCACGCACTCACGACACTCACGCACTCACGCACTCACGCACTCACTGTCACGCACTCACCACTCACGCACTCACTCACCTCACCTCACCTCACCTCACCTCACCTCACCTCACCTCACCTCACCTCAACTCAACTCACTCACTTAGGACGCAGCGGGTTTTCCTTGAGTTTCCTGAAGCCACCGCCGGCAACAGGGTATCCTTAAACAAACACAGACACACTTCAAGTCCCAAAGGAGAGATCTCATCTTTCGAGCACAACCTGTAAGAGTGGGTGGGATTTCAAGTACAACTGAAGGTGGCATGGCAATCACGCAAACAATGAGACAACTCAAGCTGCAGCCGATGTAGACGTAAAGCTTCACTCTAGTTACTTGAACAGGGAAACAAGGAAGCAACAGCGGTTCAGGGAGGGGAGCAAAGGATGTTCCGAACATCACAGCAATTTTCATGCGCAGGTACGTCCGGATGATCAGTCCGGATATCCTCCCAACTCATGAGCAGCTGCGTCGGCAGTGGGCTCGCCACTGCCCCCTGCTGAAAAACATAGTCACGACGAGAAAAGTGGTGTCAGGGTGAATCTGACACTCCGCACACACACACGCCCCTCGATGAGGGGCGGGAGACTCTTTTTTCACGGAAGACGCCCTGACAGTGATCCTAATGTCGACCAAAAAGTCCCGAGCGGCGTGGTGATCGGGAGGAATCCCGACCTGCACGAACATGCTCATGGAAGAGGTCGCGCAAGAAGTAGTCGCCTGCGTCCAGGAAGGCAAGACCAGCGGAGACCAATCACAATTGTCCATCAGGGGCTGGAAACTGCTGATGAGATTGATGAAGGAACTGTCGACACCCTGCGTGTTGTCTGAGTCAGCGTTGAGATCGTCGTTGTGCTTCGAGGTCGCGAGAAAGCGTTGGAGGTCCAAGCCTCATGGGTACTGTTCCGTTGTGTCCAGGCACCGTGTTGATTTTCTCCATCAGGGCCCGGCAGTGCATCACCTTCAGGTAGCAGAGGTTCCCACACCCTATATGTGTTGCTGGGCAGAAACGGTGTGGCATCATTTTGGTACCAAGTCTGCACTTCTCCAGACATGAAGATCTTGGCCCATTCTTGACCGTGCCATTGTGAATACTCCAGCCAAGGTTGCCGGCCGAGATGATGATCACGAACAGATTCATCACGGTCAACTTCCATGACCCAGGCGTGAAGGACTGTTGCTACGCCAATGTCTCAACAGCTGAAGCAACCAAGAGCAAAGAACAACGCAAGAAAACAAGGCGCGCCAAATACCGATCAAGCCAAGTGCAGAAAGCAGAGTTTCCACCTGCCATCTTTGCAGTCATGAAAGTGAGATGCCGCAATATCTGCAGATGTGCCGCCTGTGGGCGCCAAGCAGTGGTCCTGTCTGATGCGAGCCGTGCCTCCTATGCAAAAAAAAGGGTCTGGTCGCCCGAATTCCACCGAACGCGCAGCTGTATTGACCGCCACACGGTTGCTTTCCAAGCTCCCCCCCCAATGGAGGAATCCACACATCATGCCAGTTGCTGAAGTCATCATTCGGGGAAGGGTGAACCAGCCATTTGGCTGAATGAGCTCGTCCTGCTTCAAGATGTTGATGACTGCCCTGACATCAGTGTTGTGCGCCCAGTAGAACGGTTTGATGGTCTGAGGCCTGAAGTTGCTGGGCAATGTCCGTTTCGACTTGAAATGGAAGAAAATGCCGTACTGATTGCCGTAGGAGTCCTTCTTGGAAGTGCTCAAAACGCTGGAATTCAATACGAGACTGTTGGATGTAGGGCCAGCATTGTTCCAACAGTCCCAACTGCACGCGAAGCTGCTCCGACAAGTCCCTCAAACTCATGGGCGCTGGCGCCGAGGACCGGGAGAGGCGAAGTATCAGATTCCGATATGGCGTGCACCCGATCAGAGTCCTCAAGAATCTCCACACGAAAAGGCCTCAGGCCGCGGTATCAGGTTTTTCCAGGACTTCTTCCACTTTCCATTTGCCTGAATGATCAAGTTAGCAATGCTGGGCATGGATGTCATTGATGCGGACCGCAATCTCCCGAATTTCATGCCCAGACCTCAAAGTAAACACATGGCTTCCCAAAGCCGGGGGTTCGCAGTGCGAGAAGTTCAACTGAAGGCGCCGTGTCAGAATCACGGCGTGCGAATATGCGGAAAGCGCATGTGGCAAGTGAACATCAAAACATGAGCACGAAAAGGAAGTGTCAGGCGTCCACTGCCGCTGCATTCTGCGATAATTAAACAACCGATCACCCAATGTAGTGCTGCGAGTCTCAACCACACGCAATTTGGGCAAGAAGAGGGACGGAAAAAGTTCACGGTGATGTGACACCCAATGTTGAAGCCAAAGTCCAAGTCTTGCTTTCCAATCTCGAGAGTGAACAGGAGGCAGCAGAAGGTGAGTGAGAGTGGAGCTTCCTTTTGTGAAGCACTTGAGATAGAAGCTTCCTGGCTTTGGATCGAGAGGGCTCATTCACAAATTCAACGAGTCGAAGAAAATAAGAGCATGTGCTCCACAACAGTGCCTCAGTGCGTGTTCGGAATCCTTCCCACGTCACAAATCGTCCGTGAGTGAACGGACGAAGTAGCCAGTCCGAGATCCCACCGTGAATGGCCTGAATCAAACGCACATCGCGTACGTCCATGCCCGCAGTGTTCTGCTTATTGTTGTGGGGAGTGTTGGCCACGGTCTCTGGCAGTGTGAAGGAAAAGACCGGGTTGCGATCCAACACGCCGTCACCTGGGGTTGGAGCCAACGCTGAGCCTGTTGAGCTGGAAGGCGTACTTAAGGAGGTTCAGGCGCTTGAGGGCGAGATGACGTGGTGGATCACGGCTGCTGTGGACAAGGATCACGTGCAACTGGCTCCGAAAAAAAGTTCAAAGGCGGATGGAACGGTGGAGGTGGTGTGGACATGTAGTTCATCTGTGCTGATGGATCTGGGCCAAATGGTGGATTGGCAGGGCTTTGCCATCCCATCGAGCTGGACCAGTCCTGCACATCAGGCATTTTGGCCTCTTCTTCGCGTTCGCACGCCACCGTACTTTGTGAGGTGGAGTGTAGCTCCTGTAGTCCAGCCAAAGCAGTCCGATGCCAGCCATAGTATATGTTGGGTGAAACGCTCTATGATAGAGTGGCTGTCTTCGCTTTAGTGAAACCTCGTGTCTGCTTAAATGTGAAATTCCGCTGGTCCATGATCAGAACGTTGAGGTCAAATTTTCCGGCAAGGCCGGCTCGGGGTCACACCATGGGTACACCTGAGGGTCCCCCGAGACGGGGTAATCACACTTCAACTTTAAAAAAAAAAACCTCATCTTTCGAGTACAACCTGTAAGTTTCGAGTGGGCGGGTTTTCAAGTACAACTGAAGCTGGCACTCTAGTTACTTGAGCAGGGAAACAAGGAAGCAACAGCGGCTCAATGGACGTCCGCACATCACGGCAATTGTCATGCGGAGGTACGTCCGGATGAGTCAGTCCGGACGAGTCATCCCAACTCATGAGCTTCGTTGGCAGTGAGCTCATGAGTGGGCCACTGGCCCCTGCTGAAAAACATGGTCACGACGAGAAAAGTGGTGTCAAAATGAATCTGACACTCCGCACACACACGCGCACAAATGGTCGTGCCCAATTGGGCTTCCTGGAAGGCCATGGTTTAAAAGACCCCGCTTGGCTGGATGTCTTTTGTGAACTGACGCCCCGAATCTGTCAAAATGTCGAAGCCTGACGTAGGAACAAATCGCGCTGAGCGGACGCAGGATTTGTTCCGTTACGTTTCGTTTCTGCACCAGCAAAAGACGGTAAATGCTCAAGATGTTCTGAAACGAAGCCCCCAGGTTTCGTTTCCGCTGCGAAGAACGCCAGGAAAGGTCGGGAATCGGGAATGCTGGAGATGCCGGTGCTTGGCCGAGTCTGGCAAAGATGTGGCGAAGCATGTTTCGGTGTCAGGTTTCGGCCATCCCCAAAGGGTCCCCTGGTCGTTTTGCCGAAAAAAAGTGCCACAGCGGCTTTGACAGGAGGAGGAGGATGAAAAGCCCAAGCTTTGCCCGGGGCTGAGCAACCGGGAAGCAGCTCACTTCTCCGGTGTCCGGATGATTAGTTGGCTGGTGGAGGGGTGTTTTGGGACGGGTTGGTTTGTTGGGTAGTGAGTTGGTTGGTCGCTTAGGTGCTTGATTGGTCGCTGAGAGGTTGTTTGGTGGGCCTGAGTTGTAAAAAGGTTCAGATTTTAGACCTGGTTTTGCCAATCCACCGAGGAAGTGAGTTTTGGGTTGCTTGTCTTGTTTCGCAGAGGCAACGCGCTGCGCATCGCGCTTTGCTGAGTTGATGATTCGCAGATTGAGACCTGCGACCTGACAAACGAAGAGGGCGCCTTCTGGACGGGATCTTTGCTGGGGTCTTCCCCAAAATGCGGGATGCTTCTTCTTTTGTGGGAACCCCTTGTTTGTTGGTTTTATGGGACACCAAAAGGAAACCACCATTCTGAGGGTACCCCTATGTTGAGACACACCCGAAAGATGCTATATTTAGGGCAGGCAAGCAAGAAGAATCAGCATGTGTTTTTTGGCGGCAGAGGTGGGCCCAGTTGTTGGATGATTGCTGTTGGCAGAGCTTGGCGTTTCATTTGTGCGAAGGGAAGCAGTGCTACAAATAGAATGTGGGGGCGAGCTATATATACAGATATATATATATATATGTATATGTATATGTATACATATGGCCATGGGGCATAACCTATGGCTCCATTTTGGGCTGGATGAACATCCATTTGCCACCTATTTTGATGTTCACCAGGGGTACAGGGTTTTGACCCACAGCCATATTTCTGCAGAGAGACATGTATATTTGAATAGGCTTCATTCAGTGATCTTGCACTCCGTATTCTCTGCAGGGAAGTGGTTTACACAAAATGCTGCTGCTCGCGGTGCCGCCAACTTGCTGGGGCAGGCAGCATGTCAAATAAATCACAACTCATCCAGCAAAGAACCAAATGACAAAACTTTCTGAAGTACATCAAGGGTGCCAAGATATTCTACACCGCCTGGAACATTCACATGACCTGTACCCGTTTGGTGTTATTCCATGCCTGATACACACATTCTACGCATTGTCGACTATTGAGATTGATGTGAGCCACGGTCAACATTCATGATAGGCCCGATTAACATTGGAGTTTCCACGAAATCTCCAGTTGTCAGTGGTGAATTTGGCGAACAATTTATCCATCTCATGCATGATCGAGCTGGGGAGCATTGACCATTGCCAACATCACCTCAAGCACTGTCCACAATCCCAAGCTGGTTCCTGATATGTCAGGTCTTGCAAAGGCCAGGTGAGACTAGTAGCCTGTGGTGATGGCAGGATGATGACATTTTGTTGCACAGTTGGGAACCGTGGAATGAACCATGGTAAGTCCTGCGGGCACGCATGTGCAGCAAACACCTTCAATTCCACTATATGATATGTTTCGGACCACTGGCCACGTGGGTTAGCGCTTGAACTGTCACTTTGCGTTTTTGGGGGTCACCAAGCAAGCTGCACCTATGCTAAAGTGATCTTTTTGCATTCCAAATCTTGAGACCTCCGCTGACCTCAGAGTTGCTCTTGCTCCAGGACCACTGAGACGGCGCCAGAAAAGGTACGGCCAGTGGATGTGTCTTAGGCGGCTTCGAGCCCATCCGAACAGGCTGGGTTCCCAAAGTGACTCTGATCCCGAGAAGTCAGGTGTCCCCCATTGACTCGCTTTGGGCAGCTGAACCATTCTTCGAGGTATTCTTGGGCCCATGTTGATGAGGTGACCTTGCTGTCGGGATGATGCGACAAGGGTGAAAATCAATCCTGGGAGCGTATGCGGTCAGTTCATGTCCAATGCCTGGGGAATCTGCAATCCAACCAATCTTCAATCCATTCAAGTCCATGCTGAGAATTCGAGAGGTGGGCCAATCGTGGGACTGGGGCCACAAATTCGCCCGGTGCAATTCACTGCTTCGGATTCATTTGAGTAGCTTTGAACCAGTGCTTCCTAGGTGGCAATCCTTGTCAATTGGTCGAGTTCTTGGTTTAACCTCGCCACCAGCAGGCGTCATCAAGCATCCTGTCGTCCATTGGATCCAAAACCGCCTTTGATGCTGCAATCCATTTCGGTCCTGGCAGACTGGTATTTTGAGTGCTTAACACGAGCATTTGCTAACACTACTGGAGTACCCTGTTGGTTCTTGTTTCGTAATATGGTCGGGCAGCCACGTCACGATGATGTGCTTTCTTTTTTTGGGGCTGTTTCGTAGTGTTTCTTTTTGGAGGACCAGCCGTGGTTTGTTTAGTTGTTCAGTGGCACCCTTTTTGCATTCTTTTTGGTGTCTGCCCCACTAAAAATTGTCTTCCCAAGAAAGGGTTCCCTTTTTTTCCCAGGGTCACTGAACAACTGAGTTTGGGAACAGCCTGATTCCAGATCGGGTGCTTGGCAAGTCACGCCGCCCGCCCCGTTGTACAAAGAATCGGTGCTCCGTGCACCAGCGCTCGGCTCTGGGCAAGTTGTTCGGGCCATTGGTATGGGGGCGCATGCCATTTTAATGCTATCTGGGTGTGGCTCAAAATTAAACAGGAGGGGTTACGCAGGTTTTGGTCCATGTTTCCACTTGCCAGGGTTCAATTTTGGTAGTGGTTTTTTGAGCCACAGCCATCTTAGAACAAGGGGAGCCATATATTTGTTGAAATCACAGACTGATTGCAGGTGGGGTGTACTGAAGGTGACTCACGGGCCCCCCACCGATGGCCCCTACAAATTTTGGTTGGAATCTGAGAAGCCAGCTGTGTTCTCGAAAGCAAGCTTAATTAATTTGACACCTCACTCTGTCCTTTCCTGGAAGAATAACATCTCCACCCACGCTTTTCTGTTGTTGGGGGGCTCAATTTCGTTTACAGCGTTCACGAGATGGCCTGTTTTCGTGACCAATTTAAAGCGAGTCGACGCTTCTAGTCATGTTTGAAGGGACAATCTAGGAAAGCTCTGCTTTCTGTGGCCATCAGATAGCCAGCCATGAGAGACGCCTGAGAAAATGACAACCTGAAGTGAGGTGCTTCGGTGTGCCTACTCCCATCCAAAATGCTCATAAGTGCCTACTCCCATCCAGTGAGGGGGGTACCTCTTTTGGTTGGTTTGAAAGTGAAACCAAAGGGGCAACCACGAGTTTGAAACCCCTTACCTCATGAATTGGCTGCCGGATTCATGAACCTTTGATTCATTCTTAGTCCAGCACTTGTGTTTTCTGATGCTTCCTTTTGGGCCGTGCAAAAGGAGGAAGCGGATGTTTTCTTCTTTTCCTCTGGGCAAGGTGGCCGCCCTGCAGTCGCAAGAAGTGAACGGAGGGCCGCGTTTGACTCGCCTGTCTATCGGCATTCCTTGGTACTTAGGGGAAGGTAGCGGCAAGCTTAGAGCATGCGCCGGCATTTGGCTCAGTCACGGGATCCATCGTTGCTTACTTGGGTCCAGCCCTGCGTCTCTGGGCCTTTAACCAGATCGCTGCCAGAGCCCGAATGCATTTGGGAACCTTCAAGATAGACGAAATGCCGCTTCTTTGCAGATTTGCTGCACGCTTGAATGCAGAACCAGAATTGAATGGCAAGTCGCCCATCGATTCGAATGTAACTTTGCCACGGTCGCAAGGTAATTGATGACTTGAGTAATGGGAGCCCACTCAACCCATGGTTGATTAATTAAGGTGTGTTCCATTCCAGATAGGCTCCTTCACTTTCATACTGCCAGAAATCAATACAAAGACGCAGCTTGCTGCACGGCGCCCACGGCACTTGGCAGCATGCCTAGCCAAGTCTTAATGCTTGGCCGGCCTGCTTTCACTTCAAGCATGGACATGTGGAGGGTTGACTGGATTTGTCTTTAAATAGGTGAACCCGCATGTGTGGCTTTCCCTCTGGTTTCTGTTCACCCTGAAATACAGAGACATCCAAACGGGCTGGACCTTTTTTTAGTGATGGCACGACATGTCACGGAGGGTGAAAAGGAATGGCAGAAATAAAAGTCAACAACTTGACACGGTATGCGCATGCCGCATGAGTGAACACGGGAAACCAGTGTTGTTTTTTTGGGGGATCAAAAGTCAACCATTTTTGATTGGTGCTCGGTTTTGACTCGTACCCGTGCCTTTGTGCGCTCATTTGTTTCTACTTACTGAACACCCTGTTCATGTTTTCATGCCCAAGCTCGACCCCGGATCGATGATCAATCAGCCCCTGGCGCAATTTATTGGATGTTTCACTCGGGAAAATCGGGCTTTGGTTGATTTCACGGGGGGTGTCCCATGAAAGTTGGATGTTTCACTTGGGGACCCTCCAGGTTGATCAGTCGGGAGCAGTCGGGAGCCGCTTCGCCAGATCCTTGCCCCCCAAGCTCAAGGAGTTCCTTGCCTCCTGCCTTGGGCCCCAGAAAAAGAAGAGGAGCCGTTTCGAGACTCACTTCCGCGTTTCTGGACTCCATACTTCTGAGACATGTTTGGTGGTAAACAAGAAGTGCAGACTTTTTTATTTTCTTTTTTTCGGCCAATCCGTTCAGGAAGGGAGAAGAGGACTGCAGTCTTCATTTTGTGAGCTTCCCTGGCAAGAGGCTTCGATAGGCCAAGTGGTGCCCATGCAGCGCAAGCAGTGCTTGTTGAAGCCAAGCGAAAGGCTTAGGTATCAAAGCCCAGCTAGCCCATCAAGTGGAGATGACACTCTAACTCGAACTGGGCTCTTCTCAGAAAGTATGAACAAATATATCTACACATTATCATATATATATATATACACATTCAGGTTGAGGTTGGCTTAATATGATGCCGAATTAGGACATAGTATTTGTTGGAGTTGGGTCAAGGCAAGTAGGCAACAAGCCTCGCCGAGCTTGCGGCCGTACCTTGGGGCCAGCAGAATCCAAGCTGGGTTTTCAGAGCGTGGGCGTGTACAAGCCAGAAGGGCATCTGAGCCACAATCAAAACACGGGCAGATGAAGGTTAGTAAGAGACAGTCCCAGCCATAAATAGCCGCGGAAGTCCGCCTTCTTAATTCTTGAAGCATGGTTCTGGGTCGACCATTTGTACCAGGTTTTGAGCAAGTGACTCATCTGCGGGGGTAAAAATAGCCAACATAATTCATTGACCCTGCCCGGGAACCAAAAGGAGATGGGTATTGGAGCTCACCTTGGAGCCTCAGGTTTGTTACTGAGGGATTCCTTTTGAATGACAGGAGATGAGCTGGAGTTCTGATGGTTTTCCGAAAAGCAGGATCCCTGGAAAGAATGGGGAAGTGTCCCCTAGAATTGTGCCATCATGTGCCATCTACTTTCACTCACCCTGCTGCAATTCAGGCTGGTGAATAATAGCATTTCGTGCAGACCAACCGCGGGAAGCCCTTTGTTTTAAACTAACAATGCCGGCCAGCCCCATGGCGACCCGTTTGAGGGAAGGTGATGTTTGAATGGTAGCAATGACTTCGGTGCCTTTGTCTTTTACCCTCAGCTCCACCAAGACGCTTGGTGAAGGGATCTCTCTAAAGAGAGCGTCGCAAAGACTCGGTGCCACTCGGGCGCACCGCAGTCTCCAAGTTCCAGGGCTTGGGCCCCACACAAGTGTAGTACTGTTGACCCCGTTGAATCAACCCCAGTTTTTTTTGAGGGTTCTCTCCAAAAGTGCCGATTCCCCACATTTCACACCGGGGACACCTATATTTTTAGGATGCTGATGACTCCGAATTCAACGTATGTCCCCCGTTGACCCGGCCAGCCTCCAAGCCCCGGCGGGGTTCCGTTCGTTAGCCCCGCGCGTCGGTTCCTGGGAGGCGAGGTCGAGGGCGCCGCAGACTTGGCCTCGGAGGAGTCGGCCGATTTGGACGAGTTGTACAGGCGAGCGCCTCCGGCGAGCGCGGGGGTTGGGGGGGAGGAGGAGGGAGGCAGGGGGGGGAGGGAGGGAGGGGGGGGAGGGAGGGAGGGCGTGGGTTTGGCATTGAGCAGAAGTGAAAAGCAAGTACTTCTCTTTTTGTTGGGCTGGGGAGTGGGAAGAGTTCTGCTACTGAAGTCTGTTTTGAGTTTTTTTTAGGCGGGGGGGAAGCAAAGTTCAATAGGTATTACGGATGTTAATCCCCGCTTGTCCATGAACCTGGCAGGGGATCAATAGGGAGCTCCCCGCCCTTGGGGAGGCTGAACCGCAAGCAGGCCCTCCAAAGGTATATAAGTAAGACCAATGCCAAACCGGTGAACACCAGCAAACCTCCCAAGGCTGTACTTTCAAGTAGGACTTTCATTGGAATTGAATTGGAAGTCGCATTTTGAAGTAGATTCTAAATAGGATGGCTTTCCTTTTCGAGTAGGAATTGAAATGGAATTTTAGCTAATGAGAAAAACATGCTAGTTGTTTCTTTCAATTAATTTGATTAGAATTCGGATTCAGGATTAGACATTAGACACGAGGTCGTTTCCACGTAGGATTGTAGTTGAAATGGGAACGCGTGAGGAAAGACAAGCTGTTTCTTCCTTCCAATTAGTTTCATGAGATGTTTTCTATGTTGAATTAGGATTTGAAGATGACCTCCTTCCCAAATGAGTGTTTTTCAGAGTTTAGTGGGAATCTAAATGGAATCTAGGAAACAAGATACGCTGGTCGTTTCTTTTAGCTTGTTTTCCCCCTAAACTGCATGACTTTAGCCGGACTTTCATTAGAATCCAATTGGGCATACTGCTTTGAATTAGAC